ACCACTAGGGGGAGAATTTTTTTTTTTAACCTAAGATGACCTAAGGTTAAAAAAAGAGCAGGAAAGTTTTTTTTTCCTGTTCTTATCTTGGATTTCTGTTCTCAAGTAGAAGCAAAATTTAGCAAATGGAGCTGTTCATAAGTTGGATTGTTCTTAAGTAGGGACGTTCTTAAGTAGAGACCCCACTGTAAATTATTAAAACTAATAGAAAATAATTATCAATTATTAAAACATTTAAAAAGCATTGCTTATGTTAGATCTTCATTGCATATTTCAGATAGATTGGTGAGCCACAGGTACAACCAGCATTTCCACCTGTAATCCATTCAGACTTAAATGTGTAATCTTGTTAATATCTTTTCTAGCCTACAGGAATCTATGAGATATACATCTGCTGATTTTTGTCATCATCTTGTTCTTTAAACCACCAGGTGCTAAGAAGAGAAAACCCGTGATCCCTGAATCTGCATTTAAACAGATATGGTTTCTGTCATCCTCCAGCTGATTGTTGCTTCTAGTTTACAAGCTTGTTAAAAGGTCAGTTTTTACAGTGTTTAAATTCTGCTAAATATTTTCTAAGAAAGGGAGCCAGAGATTCCATGAATACATGAAAGTGTTTTCTTCCGTAGAAAAGAGATGCTCTCTTCTGAAATAAACTGTTCAAAATGTTGTGTGAAGTATCACATCCTGTGGTTATATTAATAAAGCAGTTCATGAAACCTTGAACAGAGTTGCACTGATGACAGAATTAGGGGAGTACATATGTATTTTAAAACAACAACAACAAAAAAGCCAGGTAGAGATAGTTGGGAGAATGTTGCCAGAGACTAGGATATAGCTCTTTAAAAAAAATTTTAAACTTTAAAAATAATCCAGCAACAACAAAAAACAATTACTTCCAAATAATCATGCTGTAGGATTGTAAACTATCCCCTAAGTAATAATCATGCCTGCATGGAGATTTCTTCTCTTCAACTCCTCTTCCTTCTATTTTTTTAAAGACTCAAATTTCAATGCTCATATAATCTCCATATGCAATTAGTTTTGTTCAGATTCATGTAGTTCTGCTTTTGGATCCAGGCCAAGAGCAGACAGACATGTTGACACCAGTGGAATGAGAGCTGGACTTGATTTTAATTTAACATGTTAATGTTGTTTCCTTTAAACAGAAAGGCAACCCATTTGACACATTTAAAGAAAAATGTTTTTAATGTTTTTAAGTGTCAGTTTCAGATTTTTTTAAAGGTTAGACGTGTTCCTCCTGTTTAATGTAATAGCAATAACTGTAATGTTAATGCATAAAACCTAGTACATTATTTCCAAATTTTCAGTGGGGCTTACAAATATGTATGCTCTAAATATGTGTAAATATCATCATGCTATTCACTGTCCCTGCATTTTCTAGACGTGTTAACTATGGGATGATTCTGAACAAAAGAAAATAACTTTACTAAAAATTCCTAAGACTGTTTTCTTTGTACATTACATAGATTTTTCAAAATATTTCTTCAGCCAAAATCCTACACATGATTACATAGAAAAAGAATAGGATAGACTGATAACATGACTGTAGTTGTGCCTATCTTCAAAATAAAGATGGGTATATAAAACTTTTTGTTAAATGCTATAAAGCCAACTCTGACTTATGGCAACCTATGAATGAGAGATCTTCAGCAACCCTATGAATGAGAGATCTTCAACATGTCATGTTCTCAACAGCTCTGCTCAGCTTTTCTAAACTCAAGCCTGTGGGTTCTTTAGGGAATACACCTCTTATTTGGTCTCCCTCTTTTCCTGCTTCAGTCTTTCTCAGCATTATTGACTTCTCCAGAAAAATCTTGTCTTCTCATGATGTACCTATAAAGTAAGATTGCCTCAGTTTCATTATTTTTGCCTCCAGAGATAGTTCAGACTCACTTTGCTATAGGACCCACTTGTTTGTCTTTCTGGCAGTCAAGGGTATCTGCAAAGCTCTTCTCCAGTACTATATTTCAAATAAACCATTTTTTTCTTGGCAGCTTCCTTTATTGTGTAGCTTTCACACCTATTCATGATAATGGGGAATATAAGAGTGTGGATGATCTTTTCCAGTTCCTTCACTAAGAGTGTGGATGATCTTGGTCTTGGTCTACAAAGTGTCCTCCTTACACTTGATGATATTTTCCAGTTCCTTCAATGCTGCCTTAGGCTTACCTTGACTAGTCATCCTGTATTTACAATTTTCTGATGAAAATCTACCTAGATAGCAGCTGCCCCTTACTTGACAGCAGTATTCCTTGTAGCTTAATTTATCAGCCAAGAAGTGCTTTTAAAAAATAATAACACATACAGTAATTTATTGAGGAGTTAATTTTATGTGAAGCTGGGCAGCTGTTATTCAACAGCATGTCTATCACCTGTTCAAGCAAACATTTGAACTTACCATCTTTTCCGCTCCGTTACCCTGTTTTGTGGGGAAAAAGTGCGTCTTATGGTGCGAAAAATACGGTAGGTAAATCTTACCTATGACAAATATTTAGACACAGATTCTTCATGATAGATGTTCTTTTGTGTTATATTATTCTTTATTACATTTGATTCTGTTCTTCTTGCCTTGCTTTTCTTTCATAGAGTTCAGGATTCATTTTATTCTTCTCAAAACTCTTTGAGGTAAGGATATACACAAATATTTAGACACAGATTCTTCATGATACGTAGATGTTCTCTTGTGTTATGATATTATTCTTTATTACATTTGTTTCTGTTCTTCTTGCCTTGCTTTTCTTTCATAGAGTTCAGGATTCATTTTATTCTTCTCAAAACTCTTTCAGGTAAGGATATACAAAAAGAGTAAAGGTAAAGGTTCCCCTTGACATTTAGTCCAGTCGCGTCCAACTCTAGGGCGCAGTGCTCATCCCCGTCTCCAAGCCATAGAGCCAGCATTTGTCCATAGACAGTTTCTGTGGTCACATGGCCAGTGTGACTAGACACAGAACGCTGTTACCTTCCCACCGTGGTGGTACCTATTTATCTTCGCATTTAAATGCTTTTGAACTGCGAGGTTGGTGGGAGCTGGGACAAGCGACGGGAGCTCACTCCATCGTGGGGATTAGATCTTACGACTGCTGGTCTTCTGACCTTGCAGCACAGAGGCTTCTGTGGCTTAACCCGCAGTGCCACCACATTCCCGTCAAAAAGAGCACAAGTGGCCAAAAGTGGGATTTATGATAGGGTGGAGATTTGAACTTGAGTATCTAGGGAGTCTTAAGCTCCTAGACTAACCCACTATGTCAGTGGTCTCCAAACTTGGGCCTCCAGATGTTCTTGTACTACAATTCCCAGAAGCCTTCACCACCACCTCTGCTAGCTAGGATTTCTGGGAGTTGAAGTCCAAGAACATCTGGAGGCCCAAGGTTGGAGACCACTGCACTATGTTACTTCAGCTTTTCATGGAGTTCTTCTCCTCCCCCTCCTCCCCCTCTCTTTCTTGTGTGTGTGCATTTGTAGGTGTGTGATGGTGTCTTTCGGACTGAAATCCTAATTTTCAGGAACCTTCTTCTTTTGCAGGTAGCTTGTAAGTCACCTTTGTAGCATTCTCTATTCCAAACCAGGGTAAACATTATTTAAATTTTTTAAAAGATATATAAATGAAAAGGCTTGCAAAGCAAGAGAACCTAAATGTCAAAACATATTCACCAACATGTAGAATACTTTGCTTAATACCAGTCTGAATACTTCAAGATCAAGTGTTTGCTTGAACAGGTGGTAGATATGCTTTTGAATAACAGCTGCCCAGCTTCACATAAAATTCATCCATCAATAAACTATCTGGTGTGATGTTTAAAAGTACTTCTTGGCTGATACATTCAGCTACAAGGAATACTGTTGTTGATTAAGGGGCAGTTGGTATCTAGGTAGAATTTCATGTGAAAATTGTAAATACAGGATGACTAGTCAAGGCAAGACTAACATTTACCCAAGATTCTAGTTACTATGGATATAAATGGACAAGAGGAAATTTCTAATGGATAAAGTGCAAATTCACATGCACACTGAAGAAAGGAGAATTATGTCCAGAACAAGGCAGTAAAGTTGCTTGGATTTTTGTATTAAGGATATAATAAATTAATATTTTAAAAAAATAATATTATGAATGAGAACTGTGTAACTTGTGTGTGTGTGTCAAATAATTTTGAGTTTCCCTTCCATTCTACATTTTCTCTCTTCTTTTTGCTTAAATTTTCTCAACTCGAAAAGACTTGTTCCTTTTGATTCATTGTCTGTTGTAAGTGAGGGAGGCATGCAGTTCTGCTCATCTTGCTGCACTCCAACTCCCATTAGCCCTTGCCAGCATGGTCAGTGATCAAGAGTAATGGTACCTGTAATTCAGCAAGATACAGAAGGCCATGGTTCCCTAGCCTTGGTCTGTTGACTAAGTCTGCACAATTATTCAATATAGCTGAGCTCTTGTGTTGAATAAGGATTTGTGTTGAGTTCTACCAGAGGTTGAAGCAGAGTTTGGGCACTCACTTTTAGAAAGTAACTCATTCTCATTACTTATATTGTAAATAAAGGAATTCTTTGTTTTTAGAAACAATTTGTTATACTCATTAGGTTACTTGTTATTTTTCATTACTTTTTTCAGAAGACACTCTTAAAATTTATAAGAAAATGTCACAAAACGTGAAAAATTCCATCTAAATTGCCTCCCAAAATGCATTAAAAGTAACTAGAAAAGTAACATATTGCCTCTAAGTTAAAAATATTCAGAGTCTGACTCAGCTTCCCTGCCCACTGTCCCAATCCAAGAAAAGGAGGTTTATTCAGATTGTTGTCTTTATATCTTTTAATGCTATTGAGAGTAGCAGAATGTATACCATGTGTTGTTCCTGTTTTTGGCAGAAATGTCTTAGCACATGTTTTTGTGGGTGGAATTGCCATATCAGGCTTTCTGGCAATTGTGGTTAGTTTTTAATCCATGTTTATGTCCTTTTTATGGTCTCCTTCTTAGAAGTTGTTAATTGAAAGCAGCTGACTGAAATTCTTCTGCTTTTGATTAATCAACAGCTTAATTATTCCATAGATTATGCTGGTGGATGAGTAGGGTGCAGTGTATTCCAGGACTTCTCTATTAATTTGGTGCTGTAATTTACTCAATCTGTTACTGAAAAGGTTGTTATGTGTCCCCAGGACATAGCTTTAAATACAGCTTTATCAGATGTATTTTGCATGAGAAAGATGAACAAGGATTTGATTCCCCTTTTCAATAAACCTCACACAACCCCAGTGTATTTTAGGTAACTAACCTCCAGTGATATAAGGACTTGTGGTTCTGTCTTGCATTCAGTCTAATACTGTATATGCAAAGTTCTTAATATTCTTAAAGGTCATATTGTAATTTTATCAGTGTAGCATAGCTGTCACTTTTATGAGTATTATCTTGGATTTTAGGAATGGCTGGACTCATAACATCAGGGACCTTTTCAAAATTAGGTGTTAGGTTTATTTTGGATGTCGGACTACAGCTGTGCACAAATGAGCTTTTTTAAAAAAATTCT